ACTCTTGAAGAATTTGAAATTGATTTTCTCAATTGATTCGATGATTTAAGATTAGAAAATAAGATCGAAATTTGTAAACGTTTTTTCGAATTCTTCACAATAAATTAATAACCTGAAACATATGCCGAGTTTGTTGAAGAATTTTCGAAACCAATATTTTGAAATGGTGGGTAAAGTGTGTTGCAAGGATTCCATTGAAATTATTGAAAATTTTATTACAACAATGCAAGTAATTCAATAAATACAGTACATAATATCATTACCCTCATTAATCGCTACAAACCACATAGGTGAAGTTGAAAAAAAGGTTGCCCAGTCGTGTTGTTCATGAAAAATGATTGCAGCTTGCAAAAAAGTTGAAATGTTTACAAAAGAATCGTGTATTTTGTGGTGTTAAAATAGCCAGTTAAGCTTTTCACTGAACTCCTTCTTCATTTATAGGTTACGACACAGAAATTTTCAGTCAATATTATGTAGTATTCTTAACCTATGTGCTTTTCATTTTTTAATATATCGTCATTAATATATAATAATGAATTAAAAAAATATATTCAAATTAATGAGTTATATGATTTGTGGTATTTCAATCGATATAAAAAAAAATTTTGATATATTTTATGAAAGTTACATCGGTGAACTTTTGTTGATTTTTAAATTTTCAGAGATTTCTCTAGTATCATTCCCGGTTATTGGACGAATTTTCAGCGAATTCTCTCTTATACTCCCCAAAACGATGGGTATAATTTTATTAGCATATGTCGCGACTAGAAATAATTCCTTCACTATCATCTGTGACATGAGTTAACGTTTCGGTGGAGAGTGAATTATGTTGACTGGATGATAAAATAAAACCGTTTCATGAAACACTTAGATTGTAAGTTGTACAACTCAATTTTTGGTGAGATCTTCAAAAGACAGAACATATAAAGATATACTGCCAATACTTGGTTGAAATGTTGCAAAATTGACCTAACCATTGATCAATGAGTGTGATGAAATCATACATCAATGATCACAAATGAATGTGGAAGCGTACACAGCTGTATGAGCACATACAATGTAACATCCCTAATATGTCCTTCGAGGGATAATGTTAGAGAATATCGAAATCGATGCCACACAGGATGCAGGTACAATTTTATTGCATCAGGTTCACTGCAAATGTATTCAGTAAACTCTTTACTACTGACTCATGACTAACAGGTGAAATTGTCAAGTAATGGATACACCAATTTAATTTATTGGTGTCAATAGAAGAAATTTTTTTATCATAAGAAAAGCCATTTTTCGATCAAATAAGTTATTTTGTGGTACCGTCATTTTTGGCAGCGATTTGGTTATTCTAATTTTATTTCTTGAAGGACTAGATGACACATCGTTTAAACACATATATCCAGCTTCTCGATCACATTTTTTTGATTAATATCAATTTTTCGGGGGGAATATCCCAGGTTTTCAACATTCTATACAATCAGTTCCATTCTAGCAAAAAAAATGTCAATGTGGAAACACGTATATCCATCAACAACATATTTCATTTATATATATATATATATATATATATATATATATATATATATATATATATGTATATATATATATATATATATATATATATATATATATATATATATATATATATATATATATATATCGTCCAGACGAGTACTTTCGTATGTTACTCAAAGTAACATACGAAAGTACGTTATATTTTATAACGAACTCTGTTATTTTGTGCCAAAAATTAATTCACCATTTGAATCGGATCACTTCATGATAACTTACTCAAATGATCTACAGAAAAATCAATTATCAGTGATAAATCTCTGATTCCTTCAAAGTGGAAAATTCTGATTAGATTCGAAATTCATTCGTGCTAATTTCCTGATTGAAATCATTTAGCGTTTCAACAACTATTTCAGATCTCATTTGTTACGATTTCACAAATTGTTTTGATATAACGGTTTGTCGTCAGTGTTTGTTCAATCAAAACCATTAATTTATTTTTTATTGAACCGATGCAACTTGGGCCAGAAAAATTCTGCTTGAAGATTCATTTCAATCATAATCCTGGAAAATGAATGATTAAATTGGTGTCATTTTTTGCCGAGCAATAAAAATGGCAACCTATTCAAATATCTGTTCAATGAATTCGAGAATTTGGGATTAACCAAAAATGGATGGATAAAAAAATTGTCAACCGTAAAATGAAGTAAATATTGTACATGATATATAGAACATAATGTAATAGCTTCATTGTTTATTTCGTTGATTCAATGGTTTTTTATTTAAGCGTAACTTGTAAAAAACTTATGTTGAGGGTGAGAATGATTTCAAACCTGTATGAACCGTGATGAAAATTAAAAAAATAAAAGTGATATTGAACTACCACTATTTCCACATAAAATGTCCATCAACTATATCTAGATAGCTGAGTGTACAAGCTATTCGTCGAGAGTGTAGAACGTTAGATAAAACGTCCCCATGGAAAAACCTGTAGGAACCAAACTCTGCTAGACCACGACTAGACGTCGTTGAACAGTTTTTGAGCTGCAAGAGGTCATTATATCTGCTCCTTTTCCTATGATGTTATACAGACGAAACAACCCTAAGAGCCTTAGCCTTAGCCTTAACCTTAAGGTTTCTTCGTGGAATATTTACTACAAGAGAAAACGCTGTTCCTGCAGATTACACTAACCTCTGATGGGTTCGGAACAGATGTCTTCAAAGTCTAGCATATTTGTATGTATATACGCACTAGATCACAGTGTTTCCTAACGAGGGACCACAGGGAGGCAATCCGATTGTTGAGCGAGGAAATTAAAAATGGATCCTCAATAGTTCAACCCTTTCGTACTTCTAAATATTAACTTTTTCATCCTATTCCGGCGGCATAAAAATTTTAGAAATGCTAAGCTAGGGCATGGCACAAAAAAGTTGGTAAACACTACACTAGACAATCTTTTCTCGGAAGCACTTCATCATTATACATAATGGCAAATATTTTAATAATTCCTCAACATTCATAGGACTATTTAATACTCTAATACGTAGCAAGTTGGAGAATAGCAGCATGATCTGGCACTCCATTTACACTGTGCATCAACGCCATATTGAGGCTATTCAGAGAAGGTTCATGAAATTCTTAGTTTGGAGGGAGGATAAAGTTTATCCACAGAGAGGAGTCAATCATAACGAATAATTGAGTCGATTTAATTCAATCTAATTGCAGAGCAGGAGAGAAATTTTATCTCTCAAATTTTTGTACAAATTACTGCACAATAGTATTGATTGTCCTCCACTCTTGTCCGCTTTGAATTTGGTGTTGCAAGGAAAATTCTTGTAATACAGAATGATTCCACCTAGAGACTCCGAGGACCAACTCACTAATACAATCCCCCATTTGGTTTGTAGAGTCTACATTCAATAGAGTTGCCCATAATTATGACATTCACTTTGACTCCATAGAATTTATTATCAGGAGTTATGTGAACAAAGAAAATTGTCTAAAATGAATTGATTCAGATTGAGTTCCCTGTAATATTTCATTCAATGCTATTATGTAGTTATAACTTACTATTTTTTTAGATTAGATTGAGCACTTTGTTAAATATATATATATATATATATATATATATATATATATATATATATATATATATATATATATATATATATATATATATATATATATATATATATATATATATATATATATATATATATATATATATATATATATATATATATATATATATATATATATATATATATATATATATATATATATATATATATATATATATATATATATATATATATATATATATATATATATATATATATATATATATATATATATATATATATATATATATATATATATATATATATATATATAAAACTATATTTGTCTCTTCATCAGGAGCAACTGCAAAATTGAAAATTTGAAAATCTTATATGCAAAGAGTCTTGTGGTAACTTACGATTTGAGATTCAAACCAAGATGTTGAAATTTGCCACTTAATCATAAGAATAAACCAAATTTATAATTCTCATACAACTATGAAGCGGTGATGACTATATATCAAAATTAGCACTTGAAGGTTATATAAACAATAATACAAACGGAATTCGTATTATTAATTCGTTTATTCTTATGATTAAATGGCAATTTTTAACATCTTGGTCTGAATCTCAAATCGAAAGTTATCACATGTCTGTTCGTATTTGACATTTCCGAATTTTCAATTTTGCAGCTGGTCCTGATGAAGAGACAAATATAGTTCTTGAAAGCTCAAGTAAAAAACGAAAAGAGTACACTCATTTCACCTAGCTCTAATATTACATTCTTTCGGTTGATTTTAATTTTTCGAATGAATGTTCTAGTGTTCATTTTCTTGAATATTTCAATCAGTGCCATATGCAAAAAACTTCACTTCCTTATATATATATATATATATATATATATATATATATATATATATATATATATATATATATATATATTTCTTGAAATTGATTTATTGCCTGTTTGAGGTATTTATTTTGAAAGTTTTTAGCATTAACAGGCTTTTTTAATATGAAAAAGTTTATTTCTGTTGACGTTTCGTTGTTATATTACAACTTTGTCAAAACTAATGAATTAGTTTTGACAAAGTTGTAATATAACAACGAAACGTCAACAGAAATAAACTTTTTCATATTAAAAAGCCTGTTAATGCTAAAAACTTTCAAAAAAAAAATATATATATATATATATATATATATATATATATATATATATATATATATATATATATATATATATAGTACAACAGAAAGTATTTCGTGTTAACCAACCACGTGCGGACATAAATGATATTTTTAAAGTGAAAATTGAGAATTGAAATTACATTTCAAAAGTTTTGAACTCCGAGTCTCGAATAACAAGCTATAATAACTTCGAATAACGAATGAAAGAGTGTTGGATATGAATTGAAGTTACATCTCAATGTGTAGACCTCGGTAGCTAAGTGGTCCAAAGCAGTACGACGTAAACCTGAAGATCTGGGTTCGAATCCCAGTCGAGTTCAAAATTTTTGAAACCAAATACATGGAAAGCAAATCAAAAAATAAATCTTCTCTTATTACAAAACATGGTGAAATTCTGCAAGTAGGCAATTTTAAATACCTTGGGGAAGTTACACAGTCCTCAGCTTTAAACCGAATCGCTAATGAACAGAGAATAACCAAGCTTCAAAGGGCCTACAAACTAACATGAGCTCACTATAACAAAAAGTGGCTAAAAGAGGTCCAAGAGGATCTACAACAGATCAATATGAAAAATCTCGAAGATCGCACTGAATGCCGCTATAAAATCGCACATATAAAGTTTGAGCAAAAAGTAAATCGTCAACCTGGAGTAAAGTGGACAGATGAACGGAAGAAAGAGCATTCAGAGAGGATGAAGCGTTTTTGGAAGGCAAAAAAGATGATGCAAAATTCCTAATGACTGCGAATTTCAAGTTCAGTCGCTCTCCTCATGGGGAACAATCGAAATATTAATAATATATATATATAATATATATATATATATATATATATATATATATATATATATATATATATATATATATATATATATATATATATATATATATATATATATATATATATATATATATATATATATATATATATATTATATATAATTCTATGGGTAACAAAACCAAGAAGTCTTCTGTGTAGTGTTGAGGTATGCGAGTTTTGAATTGGATTCTCCGGAGTTCGATGTTCGTTGAAGGACAGTGACATTAAGAAAAGAGCAAAACTGAGAAAAGCACCTTCTGGAAATGATTGAGATTTTACAGCTATAATTTCATGAAGTTGTGAGAAGAAATGAATGGCTATAGGCTTATAGGAATACCTATAAGTAGCATACAGGTATTCCTAGTGGATTTAGTTGGACAAATGAAGGAAAACATAATTAAAAAAGACAAAATTTATATATAGACACAAATATATTGAGTTTTTATTTTTGAATTTCATATATTTTCGTCATTATCTACCCAAAGAGTTAGGACTTACGTGTGATGATTTCGTAGTGTATTTTGCAGAAATAGATTTTAAAGAGATAGGATATAGTCTATGTATTATCTCTCATAGGTTGGCAAGACATTTTTATTGCCACTCACGTAATGTAATGTAGCCCTCATTTTCATGAGGGATCAAACTGTTGAAGGGTTTCTCTTTTATGGTTTCGAACAACAACATTTAATTTCATTTCAATTTTAATATTCAATTAAATTATATCACTTGTAGGTTATTGTTCCTGTTGAATTTCCTATGCTAATTTCAATCACCTCTGTTCACAAAAAATCTCTTAAACCTAGGTGAAAAAAGTTATACACTTCCCAAAATTTGGAGAAGACTCAGTTTTTACTTTAAGGGTTGGCTTTTGCTAAAATTATCGAAAAGTCTGAAGAGATTTAAATTGATCGAACTTTGTTTTCTTTAGTTTTTTTAGAGATAGTGAAACTGAATGTACTTTCTCAGAAGTAAAATTCTAAATTTTATGTTAATGTACCAAAACTCCCATATACAATATCATCATTCAATAATCCAAGTGAAATTTAATGTTACTCACGTACTATTATAACTATAGAATTCTATTTGAGACAATGGTTTGATAAATTTTCAGAATAGAGCTTTAAAGGATTATTCTGCCTCTCACCAAGTAAGTACGAGAAGCGAGCGAAATTATGCACATGGGCGTTTTTACTTTCTCCCTGACAATAAAGAAGTCAATGCCAAGGTGATATTTTATCTGAGTTAATAGATACTCACGCTCAAACAGAGCAATTGGAAAGGTATTTTCATTTCCCAGAATCTAGTTCAGTTATCTTAGAAACAGAAGCAGCGCATGAATTTTATCAGAATCTTAGGCTCATATGTCCACGAAAGCGATAAGTAGAATTTAAGGAACTAAGCAGAAGCTGAAAAAGATACAAAACAAAGTGAAAACAATATAATCAGATTTGGATAGTAACAGGTAATTTCGATAAATCTTGAATATAACTTCCGCATATATTATGACTGTAATTCATAGTGCTTTATTAGAGATTGTTGAATTAAATCATTCTAGACTTTTGAAACAATAGATTAGAACGATCTAGAGTCAATAATTATTGTGAATCCTTGTAAATGTTCAATGGACTGAACATTCTGTGTGTGCATGCAGAAGCAGTCCGTTAAATATTCACATTTAAAATCAACGATATGCACTAACTACAGTTCACTAACTTATAACTCACTATACATTTATCCACATTTCTCTCACTGACTAAACCAATTTTTTAGAATATCATTTGTAAAACGTACATTACACACGTATTCCAAAATTTATGATATATTTGGTTTTCTTCAAGTTATCCAACTTTATATTAGAAATTTTCAGACCAAATTAATTCAGACTTCTTTGATTTGTACTGCTGAAGCATACTGCAATAAAACATATTGTGCAGACAGCTCGCTGAAAGTTTCATTTGAAGTAAAACGATATTTCGATCAAGAATCTCAGAATTGACTATTTGAATATTTTAAATATATATATATATATATATATATATATATATATATATATATATATATATATATAAATATATATATATATATATATATATATATATATATATATACATAAATATATATATATATATATATATATATATATATATATATATATATATATATATATATATATATATATATATATATATATATATATATATATATATATATATGTATGAAGAAATGTACTATATGAATATATAGTATTTTACATCGCATTTTACTTGTGAATATTCATTATCACAAGTATACAATAAGTAATTTCCTTCCGATAATTTTCTTTATCCCCAAGTATTCAAATGAATATTATAACATAGCTGGCTATGTGAAACATGAACATTAGGATATCTCTGTTATCCTCTAAGGATTAATTGTTAGATAATATCGGAACCGGTGCATGCATTTGTTGGAAACGCAAGACAGTTACTATTTCGTACTACCAGGACTCATCAGTTGCGCCACCGTAAAAGAATCAAAAGCCATCGGTTCAATTCATAAAAATCATCTTGCGAATGAGAAGATGAGCAACATGGCAATGTCGAATGCATATATTATGCTTAGATTACGAATCGAATCTGGGGAATCAATTAAACATTGTATACGATACAGTAACTGTCGTGCAATTTCGACAATTATAATCATCGATTTCAATATTCCTTCATAATATTATACCTATATATATATATATATATATATATATATATATATATATATATATATATATATATATATATATATATATATATATATATATATGTTTATGTATCAATTACTATGGATTCAAAGATCAGTTGTCATCTCGTTATTCAGCTTGGCTGTTTTGCCTTCACAATATTCAGGGGTATATATCATGAGGAAACCTATAAAAAACTCGTGATGTATAAAACAGCCAGGCATTGCCAATGAGCGGTATATTATTTATTAATTAGGATGTACTAATAAACTATTTTAACAAACTATTTTACAATCAGTTTGTTCATGTCTTCGTTTGATATTAACGTTGGTTTTGTTAGTGAATCTGTAGGTACAGAAATTGCGCAAAAAATTTGGATTCTCTGATAGTCCCACCAACCTCTTCCATTCTCACTTGGTTGACCGACGTCTATTCGTACAGCTGGGGGGTATACAGTCGTCTGAGCTCATACCTACCTCTAGAATACCTCAAGGGTCTAATCTTGGACCACTGTTATTTCTTCTATTCGTAAGTGATCTAATGGATAACATTAATTCTCCACATTTGATGTTCGCGGGCGATCTGAAACTATATCATGAAGTTAGATCACAGGACAACAGTGTTCAACTTCAGCTCGCGCTGGACCATGGTGCTAGTTGGTGTGAGGACAATTATTTGAGTTAGAATGTGTCGAAGTGTAATGTTGTTTCTTCATCAAGGAAAAAAGATCCAATTGATTGTGATTATAGCGTCGGTGGTTAGGTTCTCTCTAGTACAGATAAGGCGAGAGATCTTGGTGTAGTCTTCGACCAGAAGCTTTCCTTTGTCCCATACATCACCCAACTTATTTCATCTGCTGCGAAAATATATGGATTCGTTATACGTAATGACAAATATTTTAATAATTCTTCAACATTCATAGGACTATTCAATACCATAATCCGTAGCAAGTTCGAGTATGGCAGCATGATCTCGCATCCCATTTACACTTGCCATCAACGCAATCTTGAGGCTATTCAGAGAAGGTTCTTGAAATTCTTAGTGTGGAGGGAGGATAAAGTTTATCCACAAAGAGTAGTCAATCATAACGAATTATTGATTCGATTCAGTTTTATCTCATTGCAGAGCAGGAGAGAAACTTTATCACTCAAATTTTTGTACAAATTACTGCACAATAGTATTGATTGTCCTCCTCTCCTGACGGCTTTGAAATTTCGTATTCCTAGGCAAATTCTCGTAATACAGAATTATTCCACCTAGAGACTCCGAGGACCAACTCCCTAATGCAATCCCCCATTTGGTTTATGGAGTCTACATTCAATAGAGTTGCCAATAATTGTGACATTCACTTTGACTCATATATTTGAATTAAACACACACACACACACACACACACACACACATATATATATATATATATATATATATATATATATATATATATATATATATATATATATATATATATATATATATATATATATACATGCGTGTATGATAGATTTCCTGAATTCAAAATTTTTCTTGTTTTCCGCACTGAATGTCAATGATGATACATTTTCGTATACACTTCACTGAGTCAGTGATATATTATCTACATTAAAATTATACAGTTTACCATTCGATCAAATACATATTGTCTATATGTGCTTTCTCTTCTGCAAAATATATTCTCCTAACAAGTCATTCAACTTTCATCGACGCATTTTAACGTGCACAATTTGTCCTTGATTTCGTGAAATCGACCTTAACTCGTATTCACAACTGATGTGAGAATGAACAGAGGCTGAA